GTCCATTAATAGTGCCACATTAGCAGAATTGGTTTGTGCCCTGACAGAATTAATCTTTGTCTGTGGTGGTTGTCATTCTCCTTGGGCCTAGGAATGCCTGGATGGCTAGTGCATAACTGGGCAATGCCTTTTAGGTTATCTAACTGTGCCCCTGACTGTTCATAGACAAACTAAGACACTTTATTGGGTCAACTTCCCTGAATTTACATCATCAAATTAGAAAGGACCTACCAGGAGGCCTTCATGATTCAGGACTTGCTTCCTTTGGCAGGTCCCTCTACTCCTGGTTAGGAGTGAGTACAGATGAGGTTGTGATCAGAAGTCTCTCCTTAACTCTTAAAGATTTTCCTGAATGTGCTGCTAAACTAATACCTGCCCAACAAAAATCCTTAGACTCTCCAGCCAAAGTTGTTCTTGATTTTCTTTTAGCTGAACAAGGAGGTATCTGTGCTATGGCCACCACCACCCACTGTACCTAAATTAACACTTCTGGGGAAGTTGAAACTCAGCTGCATAAGGTTACTGAACAGGCTTCCCCAATGGCGCAGTGGTTGAGAGTCCGCCTGCCGATACAAGGGGCACAGGTTCGTGCCCTGGTCCGGGAAGATGCCACATGCCGCGGAGCGGCTGGGCCCGTGAGCCATGGCCGCTGGGCCTGCGCATCTGGAACTTGTGCTCCACAACGGGAGAGGCCACAACAGAGAGAGGCCCATGCGGCTGGGCCCGTGAGCCATGGCCGCTGGGCCTGCGCATCTGGAACTTGTGCTCCACAACGGGAGAGGCCACAACAGTGAGAGGCCCATGTACCACAAACCAAAAAAAAAAAAAAAATTACTGAACAAGCCACTTGGCTTAAAAAGGTGACTCCTCTAATGGGGTCTTTCTTTGACTTGTTTGATTTTGATTGCTTTGGGTCTTGGGGACCATGGCTCTGAAGTGCACTCTAGACATTGGGAATTGTCCTGCTTATAATCGTTATAGTAGTCTCCTTGTGCCCTGTATTCTCTCTCTCTATTTTTTTAAAAAATAAATTTATTTATGGCTGTGTTGGGTGTTCGTTGCTGCACGCAGGCTTTCTCTAGTTGCGGTGAGTGGGGGCTGCTCTTCCTTGCTGTGTGCGGGTTTCTCATTGCAGTGGCTTCTCTTGCTGCAGAGCATGGGCTCTAGGCACGCAGGCTCAGTAATTGTGGCTCACGGGCTCTAGAGCACAGGCTCAGTAGTTGTGGTGCTCAGGCTTAGTTGCTCTGCAGCACGTGGGATATTCCTGGACCAGGGTTCGAACCCGTGTGTCCTGCATTGGCAGGCGGATTCTTAACCACTGTGCCACGAAGGAAGCCTCCTGTATTCTCTTAAAAGCTTTAAATGCATGTTGTCAGTTGCTAACCACCAAGCAAATGATCTCCCTAAGACTGGAACACCAAAAAGGGAATAAAAAATATGACCAACTAAAAAACTGTGAGCCTGAAGTCGTGACCTGTGAATACCACAGAGATTCAGCCAAAAAACCTTCATGACCTGTGAATGTCACAGTAAAAGCTGTGATGAGAACTTCAGACTGATCGCTGGTAATGGTGCCAATGCCTTAAATTTTGATCACATCTCTCAGTTAAACTCAAGTAGTTTCAGTTTGATAACAATTCTTGGGCAGGAGCATCTGGGGAGAAGATTTGGAGGGTAACTGCTGCACTAAAGGAGAAGGGTGGGTGGAAGCAGAGAAACTGAGCTGAGAACGAGTTGAGGAAGTAGGGGAGGAAAAATAATTCTCCCTCACCCTTTGAGGTTCCTGGCTGAGTAAATAATAAAAGACAGATTAACAGGAAAAAAGAAACAGAAGTTTAACAACATGTATACTTCCTGTATACATGGGAGATACCCAGGAAAACTAAGAGTTTCTAGACATTTAGTAACACTTCTCTTCCTGGTACAGAGAGGTACCTTACAAATGGACATTTCCCTTATAAATGTAAATATCTTTTACAAAAGCGTAACTTCTACTCACTTTTCAGAGCTTCTCCCCTGTCTGCTGCTTCTTAAAAATAATCCTTATGCCAAAGAGGCATATTTTGAGGTGTCAAGTTCTGCTCCCCTCCAGGGAGGACAAGCTGCCGGGAACAGGCCTGCGCTGCCAAGGTGCAGTGGGATCCTGTGAATTCCTTCATTTGCCCACCTAGCTGGAAGGAGGGTCCACAGTGAACTTCCAGAGGGTGCTCCACCAGGGACCCAAAAGTACTTGTTCATTCATTCAAACAGGCTTTGTTAAGCACCTACCATATGAACCAGAAGCGTGTGGTAAGCGCAGGGACGCGGTAGTGTGCAGAACCACGGCGCCCTGCCTTCAGGAAGGTCACTGCCTGGTAGAGGAGACGTAAATTAATCAAACAGTCTCACAACTTCGTGTAAAACTACAACAGCAGACGTTCTGAGAGTAAACTTTTGGGAATATGAGATGTGGAACAGGGAAGCCGATTTAAGCTTAGAGCTGGGATAGGGTTTTTCACTTCTCCAGGTACCAGCGCGAGGAGGGAGTGGTCCTGCACCTGGAGGATCAGTGCTTCAGAAAAGCCAGGCCTGGGTGGGGGATGGGGGTGTTGGAAACGTCCTCACAGTTGCCCGCGGGGCCCGGCGGCGGCGGTCCCTGGGCCGCGCGGGGGTTGGAGGTGGGGCCGAGGGTCCCAGGTAGCGCGAGGGCCGGGCGGGGAAGCGGAGGGGGCGCGAGGAGTGAGGGCGGCCGGAGGCTCGGCGGCTTTGGCC